GATTCTCCTTTTACTGCATTTGGCGCATCCTTCTAATTGATGCATTACCGCCACCTTCTGATCCGGAGTACCCCGGTTGTGCCCAAACACAATTATATTGATTTCAGTTTTTAATTCAATCAATTTCCATCAACGTGAGAAAAATGTCTAAATACAGCACTTAAAAGAAATAAATGAAATCTACTTGATTAAATCATATTCACCAAAGAAACATAAATGAATCGTGTTGTATATATATGCTTTATTTGTGTAATTTCAAAGACCTGATATGTCCATTTTTTTCAGTGTATTTTTGTAAGGCTAAATTAATTAATATTCTACATGTACATTAATTCTAAGAAAGATTCAGATAAAATGTTCAACTTTACACATCATTCATCATGGAGAAAACAGTGATGTCAACATCCGGCTCAGGTCTCAATGGTGTCAGAACGGGCAGATCAAAATCCTGAAACTCAGTAAGAGACAATAATTGTGTGACTTCAGCTCTGAGTGCAACATCTTCAGACTCTTTTTGTTTTCTTTAACTTTGCATAGCCAAGTAAAAAGTAACAATTTTAGCTGTATTTAAACCACATGCTAGTCATGCAGACAGACATGCAGACAGTTTGTACGGACACACAAACTGAAAACAACCACAAACCATAGGTGTCATTTACACTGGGGAAGCTAGGGACAGGTCCCCATCACTTTTTCTGTTTTTTTTTCTCCCAAATGTTCTGAAAACAACAAGAAATGTTAAATAACAAATGTAAGTGCTATGAGAGTTTTTATGAGAGACTATTTACTGATTACTGCATTATATTCAATTATATTTTTATATTCTGAATCGTTACCTGCCACCAGAATTTTGTGTTTCCCTTTATATAAATAAAGACATTTCCACCATACATTGGTGCAGAAAATATCTCCAGAATGCAGGAAATTAAGTGTTTAATCCTCAAAATCTTCTGGGGGAGGACCCCAGATCCCCCAATCATATATTTTCATCAATGAATATTTCTTTAGCATTAAAATATCTTCTTGTCTTGTTATTGTGACCCCAATATTCTGGATTATAACGTAGCCTATCATATGCTGTGTTTTGTCACAACTCTAATCGAAGCCGTTAAATGTCCCCACTACTGTTCAACACAAAGTGACGCCCTTGCCACACACTTCCAGTAACTCATGCAGAACCTGTTTGTGCACCAACAGATCAAACTTTGTTGCACAGAAGTAAATAAATGAAAAGTATAGATGAGAGCTTATTTTGCATATGTTTTGCACTTGAAAAATACTGCTTTTGTAGCTATACATTACAGTCCAGACTCGCAGCTAATTTTCACTTTAGTGACAGACAGCAACATAGTGTCCGACCAGATCCGGTACACATCTGAATCCGAAATTGCCCCCTATACCCTCAAATAGGGCATTATTTACGGGTACAGTCGTTGGTAATGGACGTTATTGAGTGCACTCATTCAATCCCACAATGCACTGCAATAACGTGTGTACAGTCGATGTACGCTCAACGACTGTCCGAGTTCACTCACTCGTTTTCATTCACTCCTTCAAGTGAACCGTAATAGTGGACTAACATAAGGAATGGTGAATGAGGGGTTATGAGGCGATTTCGGATTCAGACATTAATTCCACACATACCAGATATGTTTCAAATTTGATCTAACAGTGATATGGGATTATAGCTACATTAATCTTAGACATCAGCACATAAACTGATGAACGGTCCTTGAATAACTGTCGCGAATACACAGTATTTTCACAGATTAAAGATTTTAAATATCTTGCATAATTTGTAATTTACTAAAATGCATATATTGAGATAATTTATTTCCTACCAATAATTTGCAAGATTATGAGTTTTGTGAGGGAGGGAGCTCCCTTATGAAAACAGATTTTTTAATTTTTTTTATTAGGCCTATACTAGTGATTTTCAAGTTGAAATTGTGTTTAACGCATAACAGTGACTTGAAAATATGCATTTCATGTAGGCTATATGTTGAGTTTTGCTATAGGGTCGGCTTGTTTCGGGCTATTTTTGATTGTCCTTTGGGCTGGTTGTATTGCACATGCAGACGCTGTCCAGTATTGTGTTACCATTCCCATTATAACCTATTTACATGCTCGCAAATTGACACATTTTTCACAACAAAAATTTGTTTTCACAACTGAAGTTCTTGTTGGCATGAACAACGCATGATATTAGTATTGGGCTGCGTCGGAAATCGCATATAAATTTTAAAATAACTTTTTTAACCCAATGTTTGGGTTTGTCCATATTTTACCCAAAATTGGGTTAAAACAACCCAGCATTTTTTAGAGTGTACCCTCTTGCGCAGGTAGGCCTACTTATTTTTAATAAGTAATTACTTTACTATCACTAAAAAAGTATGTAGTATGAGTGTGTGTAGTATGAATGTAATCCAGATGAACTACAGTCATTCGCCATGTTGTCAGTATCATGTGATCTACCAGCGTCAGTTGTATCGCTTCACCTCTATTTATAAATCCTCTCCTGTGGCCTCATGAGATTGTAAAGTGTCCATCATATGCACACTTCAGAAGAAGTAGCTCATTCGGGAATTTTTTTGCCAACATTTTGAGTACTGTGAATGAATGCGGACATTCTTTTGTCACATACTGTTTTTCGCCTACTATATACTAGGGAAGTAGCCTATGTGATTTTGAATCCAGCCATATTCATTTTTCTCATGACTGTCATTTATTTTAGTTTCCTCCAGATGGCGCCATTTATCAGTTCACTCAATTTTAATAACGCTGAAGTAGAAAGGTGTAATTATCAGTCTAAAATATTGGTTAAAAATCAGTTGTCAGTTGTATCCTTAATAATGACTGTCCTTACAGCTTCGGATCTGTCTACAGATTGCAAATAAATGACCATGGGACACAGTTGGTAAACACAGCAACAGTTATTATTGTAGTGATTGTTAGTATGGAATATGTGAAGAAAACATAAAACTAACTGGAACATTTCTGAAAAACTTTCTAATACGTATGGAAGCAACAAAAAAGTTGAAAATTCACTTCCTGAGTTGAATTGAATGCAGAAGTACATCAGTGCATAAACAATCCTGCATTGTTACACTCCTGATTCCTCAAATCATGTCTTGTTAAGGAAAGCTATCAGACTTTTCACCTTTCATTTTACCCGCTGGAAGATAAAAATATCACAGGTATCCATTTACTTGGGATAGGACTTCACTCCCAAGTTGACCGCTTTCCGGTACACAGGTCAGAAAACTATAAGATGGACGTCTCCAGGCAACATTTTGTTGTGCTTTTTCTTTCAGAATACAAACACATTTTGCACAGATAATGTCATGATTTCAAATAGATGTTGGATAGCACTTGGTGAACCACTTAAGGCACAGATAAACAGAAGTGCTAATGAACAGTATTTTACTACTGTTGATGTGAGCAGCCATATTGGATTCAGTCTGGGTTGTTGCGCTTTGTCTGGGTTGTTGACTGCTTATCCAGGCATTGACGCACACCAAAAAAAACAACATGTTTTTTTAATGTCTTCTGGTCATCGTCAGGATGTGGGATCTAGGTTTGATAGCAACGGTTATTTCTGAGAAGCTTGATAAGTTCTACTGAAATATCACACTGCAAGATCAAGGTCACAAACAATTAAGTCAATCTTAATCCAAAGTATATGGCATTTTAATGTGTCACATTCAAACAATAAGAATAATGCCTTAGTATGTCAAACATGTATTATATTTTTATAGAAAAACTGTTTTGTGAGCATCATATCAGCAGGAATGGGAACAAAAATGCCACTATTGCACAAGCTGTTTGTCCAATACAATCAGTTACCACATCCAACCACATTTCTTTCCAGATCAGCAAGTTTCATTTTGACTCCCAAACACAGTTTAATTGTTGAATGCATCTAGTCAATCACAGTCACAGCAAAAACACAATAAGACTTTTTTTCTTTAAACAATGCCATTTGTTTGTGACATGAATTTATTGGCTTTATCATAACATTAAAGGACAATTTGCACAACACCATTTTCAACTAAAAATGGAAAACTTCATTTACACAACAACAGCATTTTGAGGGCCTGAAAACACAAACTTTTGAAATCGATACCATTATAGTCTATCTTTATCATGTAAACTACAAATCGAATTAGTGAAAATGGTGAAATGTTTCTTTGTAAAGTGTAAAGGCCATCTACTGGTCTGGCAGAAGAATACAGTGTTTAATGCCGTTTTCGCTGATCCGTGTGAACAGGGATTGTTTAGACAACATTGTTGTCTGTACTTGAAAAACGCAAAGGAAAAACTTTTCAGTTTTTAGTACATCGCTGTCGCTTAAACGTACCGTAAAAGTGGAAAACGAATTAATATTCCTACATTTAACTTTATTAAACTGCAGCTTTTATTGTAAAAAGCAACAAGAATTAATCTTCCTAGACAGCAACATAGTGTCGGCCCAGATCCGGCCCTCTTCTGGTACGCATGGGATCCACGTGTACCAAATGAGGCCCGGATCTGATCCGACACTACACTATGTTGCTGTCTGGGTTTAGTTCAGTGTGAAAGAAATCACACTGTTATCATGACAACCAGCAGTCGTCCTGTTTTCTGTAGGCTCACAAGCATCGACGATCTACATTGGAGCACATGGCACATTATTTAGCAGGATTGCGACAATACAACAATAAAGAGTCCAGATGTAACGTTGTCCGTCTGTGGGGATTGCGCTTTGCAAACGGCTTCATTGAATTCACAGTGACTTGTGAGTGAAATCATTTCAGCCGAGGTGTTTTTTCTTGGAAACTCTCTTACACGTCCACCATTTTGCATGATCAGGTTTGCTGTGGTGTGTGTGGAGGGAGGAGAAAGAAGACGCGCAGCGCAGGAGATCGGGCTTGATTTCATCCGCTGCAAACCACAGCGCTTTCAGAGTTTTAAGCTCGAGCACCTCGAGTGATACTAGATCAGATCCCTGAACTTTCAGAACTGCTGAGGAAAATGTTCGACAGATCAATTTTGTTCTGTTTGTGCTGTTGCCGTCTTGGTAAGTTACACACATATGAAGATGCGTCTCTGAGATCTATTAATTTTAAAGGATTTCATTTGAAAGCAAAAATTGGACTTTTGAAATTGTTTCAATACCACACATTTCAGTTAAAGCTTAATTGAAATACCTTTCAGATTCTTAATCTGCACAATTGACTTGTTTTTTTCCTTGTTCTCCAGGTGTGTTTGGTGTTGATGCAATGAAGTCAGTGTCAGTGATGGAGGGAGATTCAGTCACTCTACAGACTGATACTGAACTACAGACAAATGGTCTGATCATGTGGAACTTTAAAACCACCGGGCCTCTTTTAGCAAAAATGAACTGCGTGACCAAGGACATCTCAATAAGGGAAGATGTTCTTGATGGGAGATTCAGAAACAGACTGAAGGTGGACACTCAAACTGGATCTCTGACCATCATGAACACCAGAATCACAGACTCTGAAGATTATCAAATCACCATCAGCAGCGAAACAAAAACCAGACGTATATTCAGTGTCACTGTCTACGGTGAGTAGAGATTTACAGGTTGCACTGTGTTTTGTATGCTATATGGACAGTTGCAGGAAAGCTACATTTCTCATTATTCTTTCATGTTTTTAAGCTCGTCTGCCCGTTCCGGTTATTGTCAGTGAATTCCCACCAAATTCACCATCAGGATCTTCAGTGTCCAAATGTTCATTGGTGTGTTCATCAGTGTTGAATGTGAGTGATGTGACTCTCTCCTGGTACAAAGGAATCAGCTTATTGTCCAGCATAAGTGTGAGTGATCTCAACCGAAGCCTCTCTTTACATCTGGGGTGTCTGGATGATTTGTACAGCTGTGTGCTGAACAATCCCATCAGCAACCGGACCACACATCTCAACAACACTGAGCGCTGTCAGCCATGCTCAGGTATGTTAGTTATATTATTATTGACATATTATCTTGGATGCCTTATTTTTTTTTTGTACTTTATGTTGTTGGTAAGTGTATCATGATGTTTTTGTATTTCCTCAGATTGTGCTTTCTGTTGTGATGCTTCTGAAGTGTTCGCCCGATTGGTCCTCTCTGTTCTGGTGGGCGCGGCTACTGTTTTTGTTTTAGTTTATGACATCATCACATCGAGGAAATGTGAAAAAGAGAAATTGTCACGTTCAGGGATGAGGTGTCCATGACGTTTCATTCTATATTGTAGAGTGTACGTAACAATACCAATCAATACAATTAATCTAATTATAGCTCACTAAAACTTAAATATTACTTTAGTCTGTGGGTTTATTCTTAGTTTCAGAACTTCACTTAGGGGCCGTTATACGACACCGTTTTCAACTAAAAACTGAAAACCTTTTATCCGTTTTGGCCGTTCATCTACACAATAGCAGTGTTTTGGGTGCCTGAAAACATACTTTTGAAAACGGGTTTCAAATGGCAAGTTTTATTTAAACTATACTGTTCTCTGTGTCATCTCTGTGTAAACTATAAAAACACGAATTTGTGAAAATGGTGACATCATGCACATGTTTATTACATGTTTAGTCTATAGGCACATAGGGTTTTTTTTTTTTGTACAGAATTACATCTACATCTACTGGCCTGACAGCAAAATACAGTGTTTTTGCAGAACCGTGTCAACGGGGATCGCTTTGAAAATGTTGTGGTCTGTGCGCGAAAAATGGAAATGGAAACCTTTCCGTTTATAGCGCATCGTTGTCGTGTGAAAATACTTTTTATTTTATATAAATTTTTCTGGCTTGCTTTACCTTGTTTTTTTTACTGATATACATTCATTATTATTTTACATTTAATAAAACTTACAGTTTCCAACACTGCTCTATTACTTCCATAAAACAGTAATGATTTAAATATATATTTGAAAAACAGTTTTTGGTCCTCTGCTGGTCTAGGATGTTAAAAATGTGTAAAATATGAAGTGTTTTTATTCATTTCATTTTGTATACTGTTTCTTAATGTGATATTTGAAAAAGAAAAACTTTCATAATATTTACATAGGCTTATATTTTATGTTTTCAAATGGCAAATTAAATTAAAGAAATCATTTTAAAGACACGGAGAGGCTATGTATGAAAACGCGTCACTGTGTTTGAACTTGTTTAGAGAACACTTCTCTCATGCGTTTCGGTGTGCCGAAAGACTTTTTATATATGGACATGGTTTGGGCATGTTTTATGTAAATTACTTGGCATCTCATTTAGAGTATGTATCATCAACATTAGAAGAATGTTAAGAAGAAATGCATGTTCACACCACACACGCACAGTGGTTAACGTGGGATTTGCCGTGGGGGAACCCTCAAATTTTGTGTAGGTGCAACATGGGGAAATGACTCACCGTGGGACAACAGATTGAATATTGTGGTAAGCAATACTTTTTGGGAAAAGAGTGTCACCGTGGCACCAAATATCACAAAACGTACTTATTTCAAAAATCTGGATTTCTCTGACCTATGTGCAAAACACTTTTGAAGGCCAAAAGAGGTAATAAATAGCTTTAAGACCATGTCATCTCCATCTTTCTTTGATCTCAGTCACCTTATCCTGCCCTATTTCTTCCCCTCCTAAAGCTGAACTATGACTCATAGTCTTTTCATTTTCGTCTGTGTCAGTGAAGAAAGTAAACATAGGCTCAACTGACAAGTTTTATGAATCATTTTCTTAGATAAATTAAATTAGGCCTACCAAAGGCTACCAGGAACCTCCTACAAGCTTTGGAATTTAAAACGTTCCCTTAGGGATCATGCGTTGAAACGCGTCAAAGCATTCTCAGGTATGCAGCATTAATGCAAGTAGGCCTAGGTGATTTTAAACAAATATTTATTGTCAAAGACATTGATATACAATGGTTACATTTTGTTAAAATTAATCCTGCTATTGATATCTTGTAAGACTGACGGCCCTATAGAACAGTGGCAAGGGAAAACAAATGTCCGGATATTCAAATATTGAACCTAAAAAACGCTTAATCATCGTGAGTGCATCACGCATTTGTAATTTGGGAGGGAAGGAAGGGAGGTCGGTCGGCCCATCTCGGGAACAGCGAGATTCTTTGAGATTAATGAATCTATTTATTTATTAATTTATCTGTGGTGCCGGAACTCAGTTCCGGACCGTTCCGGCCCACTTAACCCCTGCACGCGCGTGTTGTTGATTTAGGGGGAAAGTTTAGTTTTGAGAAGTTCAAATGTGCCTATAAATATGAAGACAGTGCGCAATTATTGGTGAATGACACCCATTATCAACTGGAAATGTCCCTAAAAGGAGGAAATTGTAATTTCAAAAGTTGAAATAACCTTGATAAATTAAACAACATGCTGTTAAAAATGCATTAAAGGACAAGGTTATACTTGAATATGTATCTTTAGATTACTTAACCTGTGCTTCTCATAGCAAAGATGTCATATTTGACAGGAGGTGGGATCCAGTTGATATATGGGTTTAAATCAGCCCGTTCTCATCCCAAGGTGTCATATACTGACGCTTTTGCCATTTCGTCTACATCCAACGCACATGGCACCCTTTTAGCGTCTATAGCCGCTTTCCGACCAAGTAGTTACAGGAACTTAGTTATAGGAACTGTCCACTTCTAAACAGTTCTGAGAACTACTCTCCCCCAAACTCGGTTTTGCTGTTTGCGTTCGCACTGGCCAAGTGGCCATAGGAACTGGTAGGAGGGGTAAGGGAGTGACGCAAGCACGGCGGCGGCGCCACATACAACAACAACAAACCAGCATGGAGGAGGCTATCGGAATGTTCCTGTTCTGCCTTGCCGGTACCTTAATAACGGAGTACGAACGGCGGCGTTTAAAGATCTTGAGTTCTGTACAGAGAAACACAGAAGACGAAGGCTCCAGCGTAATATGATCTTAAGTAATATGATGGAAGAAGATAGAAGAGCAGAGCGCAGGAGGCAAACAAAACGACGGGTAAGTTTAGCAAGCATTAGCAATTAGCTGGTTGAATGCGTTATGTTTGTCTTAAGTTATGAGTTAGCATAGCCTACATAGGCGAATTGCAACAGACAGTGAAGAAAATGTGTTGACAGTGGGCGTGACTTATAAGTTGAACCAATCAACGTAGACCTAGGGAAAGGGAACTAAAAAAGTCCTCGCTCTAGACCAAGGGGGTAATCCACCAGCCGGAAACTGAAGTCTACCCGGGCGCCGCCATTGGCTAACAAGCCTTCACCTGCTGTTAGCATTCCATTGACTCCCATTCATTTTTGCGTCACTTTGACAGCGAAAAACTTTACATCTGAGACGTTTAAAGACTCCATTTGTCCATTATTTATTTCTAAAGAAACACGACCATGTATAAAATGCTCCATTACCTTGTATCTTAAGTTGTGGCCCCGTAGAAGCAGTTTTTGTAAAAATAGGCTAACGATTGCGTCATAACACGCGACTCTCTGTCGCATAGAAGAGAAATGACCGTAAAGACAGATGTAGAAGCTCACGCGCAATCGGGGGACGTGGAGGCATAAAGTCAAGGGAGAAGCCCATAGAGAGTCATAAAGTTGCTCCTGCTGCGAGCTCATGAACAGCTAATACTCACGATCTCCGGCTCTGCAAGATTCAGAAGGGAATGATTCAGATTCCTCTTGGCACTGCTACTAGAAGACGTACAACTGTCAGTCAGGTTGCTCACGTCACAACTACGTCTTCAAGCTCAGTTTGAGCATGCGCAGTGCGCTTGGCAATCAGGAAGTGAGTGCTTCTATTTGACTTCACTTTTCTCCGTTGAAGTCTATGGGGTCGCTGTGTCCATTTCTTTTACTGTCTATGCTCTAGACTAGGTACTGAAAGAGTTATAGGAACTACGGTCTGAGGAACTAAAAAATCCCCAACTTAGTCCGGTCGGAACACGCGAAAAAAAGGGTTATAGGAACGTTAGGTTCTAGGAACTGCAAAAGTCCCTCCGGTCGGAAAGCGGCTAATATGAGACTGTAAGGACTGGGCCAGGGTGAATCTGAATAACTAAATACCTTCGTGCTAAAATCCCAAAGCCTTTAGCCCCAAAAGGCCTGGAACTTGGAAAAACACACACAAACACACACACACACACACCTCCCCCACAGCTGACACCCACACTCAGGACAGAGCGTGGTGTCCGCTTACAAGACATTAAGACATTTTATGACATTTTTGGAATGTCCCAAAGGAACTTCTTTTCTTTAAAAGACATTCAACCAGATATATTTGATGTGTTTTTATGTGTGTCCATTTGCCCATGTCACATTGGAATAACTGTGACTTTATCATTATGCATTTTTACATTTAACTGTCTATTCCCAGTATTGTTATACATCGTTCTTGGTCTTGTTTTAATTCTCATGATCCAGCGGAATTAATCAGATACAAGAAATTACAGTAAAAGTTATGATTCTATGTGCACCAGCTTTTTGGGACAGTAAGAACCAAAACTTAACATACTGTCAGAGCCTGGGGTTCTTAGATAACAGCATTTACGACCGCACCAGGAATGTCAGAGAAGTATGTCTCTCTCTCTCTCTCTCTCTCTGAATTCTAACCAAGGAGGAGAAATGAATCCTGTATTCATATATATATGCTATTATATATCCACTTGAGAATTGTATGAACGATGTATCTAAGTTCCCTATTTCATGAGTTGCCTTTCTGTGGTTTGGTCTATGTTTCTCGACAACTCTAATTGGATAATGTTTCAAACTTTGCCAACTAATGTTTAACCAAATCCATTTGTGGCAAGTTTGGTCTCGATAAACTCCAATCTTCGTTTCCCATTTGTTAATTGACATTACATTTTGCTAAACTTTGTGACACATTAGTATTATAAGAATTGTGAAGATTCTTCTCTTAAACAACCGACGAAATTAGGGTTTCAGATGTCTCTCTCTGGAGACAAAGGGCCATAAACCCAAAGTCCCGCCTGTAAACTTCCAACCCTCTAATTGGCCAAGCCAACAGGAAGAGGCTGGATTTCTCCAAAAGTGATAAATGACGCTTCTCCCCTTCGCACGCTCTCTTCCTCCCGTGTCCTCGTGTCATGATGTAACGTCTCGCCTCCGGGCGAGTTCTTCGCCTTTCTTTTATTTGTTTCTAGTTTGGTTTGTGTTTTTCAGTTGTAGATAAGTCTCTGTGTTTAATTCCAATCGACGATTGAAAAGAAAACCCCGTGACATATCTCTTCAGCAAATCCATCTACAAGGGACCTTTAAACGAGCGCGCGCTCGCTTTGAAGGAGAAACACGCGCACGTGACCGCGTGACGCGCCGGACCGAGCGAAGCACGCGCTTCTTCGCCAGCCATGCACAGATGGAACATTAACTCCTCGTGATTCCTCCGTTCTACGAAGTGAAACGAACTCAGCCGAACTATTTTCCTTTGGTAATGTTACCCCAAAGACTGTGAACCTCCGTTCAACACGCGCGCCAAGCAGCCCACGTGATGCTTCCTCACACACAAAGGAATCCTCTCACGCACGCGGCCAGACAAGGCCGCGCAGGATTGCCGCGATACAGAGAGACCAAGAAACTTGCGCAAGTATATCTCTTTATAGAGCTTCTAAGAAGTTTTAAGATGATGTTTCGTGTTGTTATCAGAGAGGTGAATGTCTTCCTGCCAATGAAATTCTCCCAATTTCTCTGTTCTCTCTCTCCCCATCCCCTTTCCTCTCTCTCTTACTCGCTCACGCGTGTAAGTTATCCATTGTCCAAACTTTACGCATTTCTCGTTCATTGATGTCTTATTGTATTGTTCATTGATGTCTATGTGTTTGTAAATACATATATCCCGTGTAACCGTAGTAAATACATAAGTAGTCATGCCTTTATTAAATCCATTATATTCATTTTGATTGATGTTACTGTGTCTGCTCATACTCCAGGTCTCTGAAATGAATAGATCAAGCTACGGCTTTATAAATTAAAAATACTTTAAAGAGTATGTGTTTATAGGGCAGAAAACCCAGTTCTTCTGGCCAGAGAATTGCGTTTCCTGAAATCCTATGAAGTAAGATGATATGTGGGATTCCCCCAATATTAATCTGACAATTGAGCTAATTAAATTTTACCTGTCTGTAAAACGTGATCTATGCAATCAACTTGTAGTTAAAATGCAAGGATACACGTATGCATGCAGGTAAAATGATAGATCCTCCCTTAGAGGGAGAGTAAATTCAATGTAAGACTGATCTAATCCAAACATGTATGAATAATTATTAATTACCAATTATTAATTAATTTATGCAAATTCCCCACGGATTAGATCCGCCCTGAATCCTTACAAGACGCAGATAGATACAGGGCCGGTTCTAGAACCAAATCACTGAGGGTGCTTCTGAAAATAGTGAGGGTGCTCAAAATAGGGCTGAGCGATACCTATTGTCTACGACAATATTGTAATTGCTGTTATGTTAAACGATATGCGTCTGCATGATCGAGTAGCCTATGTCCCTGTACGAGTTTTTGTCCTTTACATTTATATCATATGATATAGTTAAGAAATGTTACAGAGTGCTTTTTCCCCAAATATCAGCAGTATCGGTGGCGTCGGCGCCATCGGCCGTGGCACTTGCTGGGATTTATCGCCGGTGTTTGAATGGGTGTCATGTGGTGAGAGCGAGGTTGTAGGGTGGGGTTCGCTGCTGTCATTTCGTCTTGTTGTGATGTAGAGGTTTGAGCTTTCTTGAGCCAATTTCGTATGCCCATGATTAAAAATGGACAATTAATATTTTAAGGCTACCTAAAGGCAGCCCCGTGTCAGAAAGTCAGCTAACGAATTTCCTGAGCGGGACGCACACACGCAAGCAAAGTGGGCAATTAAAGAGACAGCTTCACCTATGCGTATCACGATCGCGAAAGGACACAACCAATCCAATGCATTAAACATGTTACATGAAAGCATAATGAAATAATTTCTGATTTGAAAAAATCGAGTTAATGGATTTATTTTGTGTATTATATGTAGGCTGCCTATGAGTGTGAAATCCATCTGTGTTTCTTTTGTCGGCAAAATCTCGTTTACATGTGTGCTAATACAAATTTAATCTGAGGGTGCTTTCACTTTTGTTTGAGGGTGCTTAGCACCCTCAAGCACCCCCGTAGAACCGGGCCTGGAAAGATATGGGCCAGAAGGCGCCTCCTAGCGGTCTAACCCTAATCCTACCCCAGACCTAAACCTACCCATATCTATCTGCGTCTCATATTGACGCTAAAGGGTGCCATGTGCGTTGGATGTAGACGAAATGGCAAAAGCGTCAGTATATGGCGCCCTAGGATGAGAATGCGTTGTTTAAATATATCCTCTATTCTTAGGGTTTGTTTAATGAGGTTTAAATATGTAAGGTATATTTAAGTGTCAATATGGAAGGCATCTTGTTTGTTCAATCATTTAATTTTCTTCTTTCTTTCTTTCTTTCACCTTTTTCCAGATTGATTTATTGAAGTGGTGAGCCATAATAATATTTTTTTTCTTTCTTTCTGTGTTGTTCTCTTGTTCGATTTTAGGTTTTAATGCTTGAAAATAAATAAACTCAACAACGACAAAAAAAGCATTAAAGCTCAACTACACTCGACTGTACCAGTTTTTGGGGTCAAGTTTTGACACGCCTAATGAAACAGGCAAGTGCCAGCAAATTCCCGTACTCCAATTACGTGACTTCTGAAAACATTAAGATCCTCGACGCCCTTGGTTTTAAATTGTGCTGCTGGATCCATGCTGGAGCCTCAGTGTCACCAGACTCAACTTATCATCAATATGAAGAGCCTTGTATTAATCTTTCTTTTCTCATTAGTTGTGAACGGTAAGTGTAACACTGCAATGCTTTGGTTCTATTTACTGGTGGAAACGTGTTTTAGAACCCCTAGTGTGTTTTTTCCACTTTCTTATTTTACACTAGACTACTATTCAAAGTTTTAATCAGAAATATTATTTTTTTTATGTTTTTTAAAATAATTATCTTCTGCTCACGAGGCTGTATTTATTTGTACCAAAATATAGCAAAAATTATTTTAAATGTAATTTGTTCCTGTGTTTAAAGCTGCATTTTCAGCATCATTACTCCAGTTTTCAGTGTCACATGATCTTTTAGATTATTTTAATATGCTGATTTGCTGCTCATGTAACATTTTATTATTATCAATGTTGAGAACAGTTTTTCGGGATTCTTTGATGAATAGAAAGATCAAAAGAACAGCATTTATCTGAGAGAGAGAAAGTTTTTTTTTACTAGAAATGTCTAGATTGGTAGTTTATGCCGTTACAAAAGCCAATTCATCTCATTTTTAGTGCAACTCATTTCTAGTGCATCTCATTTCTCTGAATCGTCTTCTAGACATTAATTGGAGTAAATCTGTCATATATATTGTTTAGCCGATGGGTGATTTTATTTCTGCTTTCATATTTTATGTGAAATTCAAAGGAAATAACTGTTTCTGTGTGTTCTGCAGATGTGTCTGGTGCTGAGACAGATGTTGTGGAGTCTGTATCGCTGATTGTGGGAGATTCTGTCACTCTACATACAGATGTTACTGAAATACAGAGAGATGGTGTAATTGAGTGGAGGTTTGGAGAATATCTCATTGCTAGAATCAGCAGTGAATCTAATAAGAACATAGTACTTGTTAACCCCAATAGAGAGAGACTGCTGCTGGACCATCAGACTGGAGATCTCAAGATAAGGAAAGTTAGAATCACAGACTTTGGACTTTATACACTTGAGATCAACAGCTACAGGGGGATGTCATCAAAGACATTCAATGTCAGTGGTGAGTACGTCAGGTATTTAGGTGAGGTTTGAGACTCAAGGTGAAAGTGTTTGCTCTCTGACAGAAATATTTCTGTTCATTAGGTGTGAATAATCTGGTGCCAGGTGGAGTGACACTCATGCCGGTGCTGGAGAGAAACTCTGTCATTCTACCGTCTGATCTTACTGAAATACAGAGAGATGATCAGATAACCTGGAAGTTTAATGGCACACTCATTGGTCAACTAAAATTTCAAACAGCTGAAATCTTTGCTGATGTTCTTGATGGGAGATTTGAAGACAGACTGCATCTGAACCAGCAGAATGGATCACTCATCATTACTAACATCAGACCCAACACCTCTGGACCTTATGTAGTCGACATCACCAAGAGCGGCAGCAGTTACACCACACACAAGACTTTCAGAGTTACTATCATTGGTGAGTCACTTTAATATTGAAATGCATTAAGGATCTCAGAGTCATTAACAAATCAATTAATAATCTAGATGTAAACGCACGTGCCAAGTTCTCAGAAATGTTTCTTACCATTTCTCAGTGCTTTCATGAGAGAATACCACACTTTTCTCTTTTTTAAATGTCTCGTGATGAGAACAGCCGTACCACCCTAAAATTTCACTTAATGCCTCAAAAAATATACAAATAAATGAATTAAAGAATGATCATCACAGAAGAGGCATATTCAAGTATCCATCAGTGCAGTCATCAGTGTTTGAATGTGATTATTATGAGTTTGAGTTTGTTTGAATCATAGATGCTTAATTAATTTTTTTCCATTGTTCAGACATATTATGTTATTTTAACACCAGATGCAATGTAATAAGATTCCAGGGATAAGCAGAGCTCATGTGCGTGCTTGCTGTCTCACACTTGCAACAAATTGGATAAGTGGACTACTAATGGCACACTTCATGAACTTTTGGTCTTGTAGACTTGGCTGCCACGTACGCGTGTCCACTAAGTCCATGAGACCAGAGGGTGTCCCATTTAGTCTTTTTAGGTTTCAGAAGGGTGGTCGCGAGTGTCCCCTTTGCGGTCGATATTCACCCTCGATGCGCACTTTTTCCAGGCGCGCACAGATACTGAAGCCCAATTGCATAGGCCAATGAAGATCAAGCGCACATGCGTTCCCTTACGATCTTGCACATCTCTTCACAAATCCCCTTCAGCGTTTCAATGAAGAAGAGGATGGCCCTGAAGGATTGCAATGTGTGGGGGCTTGATTCGCCTCCGGGATGGATACAAGGCTTGCATCTTGTGCCTGGGCCGGCTGTCAGCACTGTGAAGAGGTAACTGTTGGGATGCTGCGCACGAGGCTCTCTATTGTGCTGAACGCCACCGTTGAGCCATGGGGCAGGAACCAGTGGCAGCGATGCTCCGGGGGCTCTTTAAGCGATCTTAGACTGGCCCAACACCTGTGTTTTCCGCGATCAGTGGAGTCTCCGCTCCTCAGACGGAGACCATAAATTGTCAACACCGGCCATGGAACAAGTGACTAGTTCTCCAGGAAGAGGACGCTCCCCACAGCAATGTGAGTGAGACGACCGGTTAGCCCGCCGATACTGAGCTACTGAGGATCCTCTCAAAAGCATTGAATCAGCTAAGACTGGACTGGTCAGCTCTCAAGCAGCCATTAAAGAACTGCCTGGATTACTTGTTTCTGCAGTCTCCAGAGACAGGCACCCTTCTGTCCAGAGTTGCACGATTAGACCTCCCGGTCATGGTGCACCCCCCTTCTGTTGATGGAGCTGACCGCTGGGGCTTCTATCCCAAGCAGCCACCCATTGAGGTGCGGCCCACCTCTGCCCTTCGGCTATAAATATATTGTATACATATATATATGCAATCGACTCGCCTACAGTCCTCAGCAGTTTTCAGTATACATCTACTGTCGCAGCAGGGCTACCTCCTCCGCTCCAGCAGGAGCTCCGTCCAACTTATCCATTGGATAATTGGGAAATACTAGCTGAAAAGCATATTTAGTTCCACTGCTGCATCAGTGTCATCTCCTCTGCTCCTACAGGATCCTCGTTTCTCCTTTCAACATAAAACTACTGCTGCAGCAGCGCTACCTTCTCCAGAAGTTCAGTTTACCATATAACCCGACTTCACTGCCGAAGAAAGGTTATCTCTCCTGTTCCCGCAAGAGCTCACCTATGAGTGACCTTCCACAGCTGACTACCAGCGAGGCTCACCCTCTGATGCCACGACCATCAAACTCTCATCTGACGCAAGAAGCCCTTCTGATCCAATGACTAACCCCTCCTTACGATTGGCACACCTTCAGCTTCGCACTCTACAAGTTTTCTGGGGGTCATCAACATAATATTCTGGCTGCTGTCCCATGTTAGTTGTGACTTTTTGGGGGAGTACTCTGGGTTAGGGCCGAATACCGAGTGTAGCACCTCTAAACTGAATTAGAATGATAGCTATGTATCTATTACCTAGGCTCTGAGCAATAATTGACAAGACTCATTTTTCTTTTAAACAGAACAGCTGGCAGGTTTATTACACAATCACTGTGCAACACACTATTCACAGAATTATTTTATCTTACATTAGAAAATACCCCAAAATAAAGTAAAGCTCTTTCATTTAGTAAAAAAAAATTGAAAAACAAAAAAAATTGTCCTTGGGAAAATATAAAGTCAATCTACCCGGGTAGTAAACCAAAACACATTCAAGTTTCATTATCTGGAATCCATGGAATCTAATATACGAGGTCTGGATACGAAACAGTTCAATCACTCCGCAGAAAAAAATCCGGCACAGCCGGCCACACTGAGTCCAAACGTTCCTTCTGTAGAATATCACTCACTGGGACAGGCTCGCCATCGAAGTCGGTTCGGCAGAAAACACGGTGGAGAACAACAGAAAATGTCTCCAACAATGCAGTCCTCGGGTTACTAGTAAAATATTATCTTATCCACACAACTCCTGATTATAATTGATTAGATATCTTACTGTTTTTCTATGTATTTTCGCCACGTGAACTAGAGCTTTTTCTAATGCAACTTGATACAACGGCAAATCGCTACAGAAGAACATAAAAACAGTACTAGTACTCCCTCTTCTTCTTCTTCTTCTTCTTATTTGGGCTTATTGGTGATTCGCATTCTTAAAAAGAGCATCACCGCCATCTACTGTAAGTAATGGATCAGAGACATTATATCCCTCTTCCCAGAACAATCAGGACTTGTGCTTTCAATGTTGCGGTGTGTTCCTAGTGGGCCCTCTAATGGCATCATGTAATTTCGACACTCCACTAATTAACCCTATCGTGATAGCATATTCTATATGGGTTACACAAGCTCAGAGCCCTCTCCTCAGACAACACGTCAAATACTCATACCATTTATTCTATCTGACTTATTTGTAAGTGTAAATCATGAATGCTTCATCGCTGTGTCCTGTACTATCGTTGCACGTTTACATTGAATGCTTAATCAAATTTCAAAGAGTCTTACTGGATTCTGGATTAGTTACATGCCTCAAAATGGGCTTATTTGTGGTTGGCTGATGCTATTGATGTATTGTGTGATGTATTGCTCTTGAGCTTGATTGCTATTGAAATATTTGACTGTTTGACTATTTGCTACTGTTTTTGACTCTATTGTGACTTTTTCATTTCCAAGAAACGGATGAACTTTGTAAAAAGCATTATGCCAAATGTGTAAATGTTTTACTGTATGCTTAATCTCTGTCTGTGCACGTTCTCCTGTGTTTTACTGTATGTCGAGACAGATGGAGGGAACAGGCTGTCGGCGATGGAGGGAACTTCTGTCACTCTAGAATCTGGTGTTTCTAAAATACACAGAGATGATGTGATAATATGGAGGTGTGAATATGGAGACATAGCAAAAATGAGCTATGGGACCTTCGCTACATTTGATGGCATTGATGGGAGATTCAAAGGGAAACTGGAGCTGGACTACAAGACCGGATCTCTGACCATCAAGGACATCAGAACTAAACACACTGGACTTTATCATCTCGATATCATCGGCAACCGACGCACCATATTCAAGAGAATCAATCTTTCTCTCTATTGTGAGTATCTGAAGTCTTTTAATGTAGGCTAATAATAAAAACCATAATAAGATCAGCACTGTGAAAACAAGTTCTGAAATTGCTCTGAAATTAACTAAGGTTAATTAAGTAAACTATTAATATTATAGTGTAACTGACAACCAAAACAGAAAGGTGCAAACCAATCAGAAATGATGGTCAGATTGCTGATTGGCTGATCTCTTTATCATTACAGCAAGAGATTGGACTCCATTTGTTATAGCAGTAACTGGTGTTGCTGTTCTGCTTCTGGTCTTGGTTGGAGCTGCAGTTGTGATTTGCTGTCAAAACAGGGTCCCTCGTCAAACAAAAAATGGTAAGTATTACAAACAGCTGATATAACAAGTGAAGCATTTGATATTTAAGATTTTTTTTAAACGGGCATCAGGAGGAATCCCGAATATCAGGTAAGATACTGTTTGTGCTGTTGTTTGCAGTACATATAAACAAAATTGCTAACAAAATATGTTGTGTTTGCGCTGGCTTTGTTTTTGTTTTGTGGCTTTTTTATTGTCCATACTGATGCTGTCATCAGTGGTCGGCTTGTCAGTTTAAAAAAGACCGTAATGTCAAATGTAGCAGGAAACTTTTGGCAAATAACACCAGTCTTGTCATCCAAATCACTGCCTTGTTTACTTTGCAAATGTTAGTTTTGGACACATATTACTTTTTTGTGTGTGTTTTTAAGCAGCCTCTTATTTTGTTCTATTACCTGGATTATTTTTTAAACATCATGGAATTACGTTTAATAAAACCTTTTCAGTTCAAACAGTGAAAGATTATTTTCTGTATGTTGTTGATCGTATCTCATGATCTGATCTTATCTCTTGTATTTGTGTTTCAGTTAACCTTTCTGATGTAATATGAGAGTGATGGTTTGCATTTTTGCGTCGGGTTATCAGATATGTGCAATCACACTGGAGCTGATGTACTGGAATGGAGGTAAAAGATGAAGTTCAGCCAACAAATTATTTAGCAAGTCTCAGAAAGATTCATCAGGAGGAATCATCCTTACTATGAGCTTTTCAACTGGAATCATTTAATGAATTAAAACGCTGTTGTTCTGATGTCCACATTGATCAATGTTCAAGCACTGATGCTTTGCAGTTTTATTAGGTTTTTTTTTCACAATAGAATGTTACTGTACGATTTATATACATTATCAAAACATGGTTCTAGCAACATTAATGCAAATATAATGCAATCTGAGTCATTGTTTGCCATTTGCCATTTCTAAAATACTGTCAGATTCTCAGACTCCTCACAAGTTTTTATTTTTTAGCAACCAAGGAAAAGAGTGCTTTAAAGTCAGGATTTTGGAAGATCTTTGTATGTTCATGTGAATTCAGTGTCATAAAAACAAATTGTATTTCATCACAACATCTGTGAATTTGCTTGTTATGAAATGATGTATGAGTTTATTATAAATAATGTGTACTGAACTATCACTGAATCAATTAAGATCTTCACCTTTAACATTTCAGGCTTCTGATCTAAGGAATGATCAATAGCATGTGTGGCTTCAAGATAGCAAACGTACATATGTGTTACACTGTTTATCTCTTTTATATTTAGGGGCCAAGCACCGAAGGTTCTTATTAATCTTCTTCTTCTTCTGACTGGGAGTCTATGGCAGCCCATAGAACCGCTTGCGGGCAAGTTATGAAATTTGGCACACTGAAAAGTCACCATAGCAAATTTGGAGTCTCAAAACCAATTCCTCTAGCGCCACCAACTGTCCAAAGTTCAACAACTTTTGAACCATAATAACTCTTTTTTCCACTTATTCCTTAGCTCAAGACGATTCGATTGCACCCCAACTCCTCCTAGGCCGTTGCTTCCGATTTTCACAAAAATATAACGAGATCATCTCCAGACTATGATGCAAAAATTTACCAAAAATTTTTGATAAACCCAACCGTTATCGAATAACATGCAAATTAAATTTATGAAGAGCACCCCAAATTGTAGCCTCGTGAGACCATCCTGATCTCGCGAGCTTTCAAGGTTTCACTCGCAGATCAGTCTGGATACTTTCCGTTAAAGAAAGTTTGGGAGCAGTTCACCAAACGAACGTCCAATCAGCGTTGGCTTTGAGGCGGGTTGAGGTGTGACGCAACGAGAAGCGCGACAGTTCAGTCTAAAGAACATGTCGGCTTCAGCGGATGAAACTAGCATCAGCGTGGCTATCGAGCAAGTTTTATCGGAATTACAGAGTATTTCTTCACTGAAAGAAGAGCAAAACACTGCTCTGGAGGCTTTTCTCAGAGGAAAAGATACGCTCTGTTAGTACGTCATATGCTTCGTTGATCTGATTGGTTGATTTGGCACGTCTATCACCAACATAGGCCAATCAGCTAACCAGTATTTTCGCCCCTTACCAAAACTACTTCAACGGAAGGTTTCCAGATGAATATGCGGAGTCAGGTTACCCAAATTGGACATAAGGCTGTATATCCGCAACGCTTTATTGTATTCAGACCAAACTTGGTACATGTCATCACAAGCATGACCTGAGACTACATGCTGCGTTTCGGCACAGCGCCACCTACTGGTCCGGAGATACGAAAAATTGCTTTTTTTGCTTATAACTTCTGAACGGTTTGTCCAAAAATCATAAAAGTAGTCCCGTTGGATTCAGGGCGTCATGCCGAGTCAATTAGCTGTCGGACATTTTGAATGTGCTAAAATGCTGTATTTTGAATGTGCTAAAATGCTGTATTTTCTGAACACTTGAACGAATTGTCAGGAAACTTGGTATGGGTCATCACCACGATGCCCTGAAGGAGCCTGAGAAGTTTCGAAACAGCGCCACCTAGTGGTTACTTTTTATAACTTTGGGTGTGGTTGACTTATTCTCACGTGAGTCATCTCCTTAGACTCCCGAATCCTTGCCAAGTACAACAATATCAAACATGCTAGGTTTCGCCTTACGGTTTGTGTAGCGTTGTGATTTAGCGCTTAAAAAACATTTGCCAATATCTTCGAAACCGTTGGACCGATTGAGATGAAACCACCGTCACAAGTTTGGAAACATAGGTCATTGGCTATATGCTAATACCCAAATGTCAAAATATTAATAGTAAGTGGTAGTAAAATCCAATCAAAGTCAGGTGTCAGTTATTTTTTACGTGTTTTTTTCTTATAAATGTCTATAACTCCGAAGCAAATTGAGATATTTTCACCAAAATTAACACACAGATGTATGGGCTCACTCTGAGGACACATAAAAAAATGGTGGGATTGAGCCTTTTGGTGGCGCTATAATATAAAAAACATGAAATTCCCATTGACTTCAATACAGTACTGTGATATTAAATGCTATACTTTATGAGCGCGTTAGCGCATCGTTACGAACCTCAATAGAGTCATGAGTCATCAGCACCATGACTTGAAGGTACTATAAAAAAGTTATAACAAAATTTCCAAAAATGCTAATAACTTTTGAATAAATCTGCCTATTGTAATGCCACTGGTCTTGAGGTTTGTCATGGTCATCAGACTCTGACCACATCACATCAATTTTGTAACTACGCCACCTATTGGTCGAAAGTGATAATCTATTAAATCTGTTTTTAGTTAATGTATATGATTTTTCAGCCTTTTTGAATTTCTTGAATTTCTCCTTGCTGCAGTTGGTCTGACACTCCCAGCCATCTTGCCATGTCTTGTCGTCGTCTTTGCGCTTGGCCCCGGTAATGGCTGCTTGCAGATATATTGCTTTATATTTTTATGTTACTGTAAAATCTTATGTTGTTGTGCACCGCATTATCCTCACAGTTGACTTTGAGATAAAGGGAATGGGAAATGTATGCTTTCACTGTGATATAATAATACTTGTTGCATCTGGTCAAAATCTTTATATGTAAGGCAAGTTTGAGTTTTATTTTATTTTTTATATAAATACTATGAATACTTTGCATCTCCTTTTTCTGAAACAATGAAATGAACTTAAAAGTTCATCATATGTTCATGTGATAAATGTCAATAAAAATTATTTTTCCATAATGACTAGAATCTGACAGTTTGTCTCAAATTATTGAGATTGTAATCAGAAATAACTGACTGTAAGTCACAATAAGTGACTGAGTCTAATCAACTGTAATTTTAGTAATTATTAATATTAATATTATTACTGGATGGTGGCACTAATCTTGAACTGTTGAAGTCCTGGTTAGGACACTAGGTGGCGCACTAGTAGTAGATGCATTCTGCTTGTAGTATATTAATGGGAACTACCACTCATTGAGTGGACAAAGGACCTTGCTGAAAATTAACACTTGAACTCCCCCTCGTGCATTAACCCCCTTCCGAGACTCTCAGCTTCACGTATTTCCTAATGTCGGGTTCGTCTTCTCTTTATTCCAGAGCATTTTATGTTTTGTATTGATTATCTTTAACTGATTATGAAATATGATAAATTTACCTGACATAATAAATTCTTACATTTGATTATTCTAACTGACTTTGATATTATTTCATTAGAGTTAAAAGGAATAGTCAAACATTAACACACAGTAACACACACCCGCTGATCGGATGCCCCCATTGGGCCGACCAAGCCGGCAGTGGCGGTTCTAGACCATTTCAACTGGGGGGGGGCCAAGCTGGGGCCAGTTGTACTGTTAGAGGGGCCAGTTACATTTAGACCTTATTGTTGTCATATCATTTTCAGCATTAACAGGCAAAATACCATGTTTATAATCATTCAACAATGTATTTGCATTTCCATTATATTTTTCCATTTGCATTACACATTCAGTATTAGTCACAGGCCGTGTAATTGCATTTCCATTATATTTTTACATTTGCATTACATATTCAGTATCAGTCACATTAACTGTATTCTACGATTTTTGTGTTTGTTTGTTTTTTTTGGGGGGTTTTTTTGCAAAAAGATCAGCAAATTATCCTCTTACCTGGCCTTTCCTCTCAGGGCGAATGAGAGGATGCTTAATTGCTTTTTACCTGACATCTTAGAA